CTTCGCACAGGCTGTTGGGCAGGGTGAAGTGAAGCAGCTAAGCTTGTTTCACAGACCGTACCGACCTCAATTTGCCACAGGTCAGACCTAAGGACATAAACATGTCCATGGCTGAGCTGCGTAACGAAGGTCTATCACATCTGGTGGTTTTCCTTACACTGCACTGCTGGGCAGCCCCTGCAGTCACCCACATCTGCACTATATCAGCACCAGCAAAACACCAGGAACATGCTGGAGCAGTTATCCCTGGTCAGGCTGTGCTGTCTCCCCCAAAGTAAATCCCTTTTGTTTTCCAGGGAAGCTTTCTTAAACACTATGGAGAGCCAGCTCCTGCGCTGCAAACTGCTAGAGCTGTTGTTCCAGCATAGTTGCAACATGCCCACGACCTTGCCCTTGTCTCTGGCCAAGATCCTGCATTTCCTGAGCCACTCCTCCATGCTGCTGCAATACCAGGTATCCAGTACCACCTTTCCTTTGCCTTGCTTTCACCTGAGAAAACCTCTTCTAACAACCAAATACTGTCTTCTGTCATAGAATGAAACAGCAACATGGCAAAGATGGGATGAGATGCTGCAGTATTTGAGTTTGCTGCTGATGAGTTACCAAAACGTACTACTGGGTAAGCAGCCTGTTCTGGCCTTAATAAACACAATCTCTTCAAGAGGCTGCAGTGGAACAGCCAAAGTACTCTTCCTCTCCTCATCACCCTTGAACTCATAGCCACTGAGTCTTAGAAAGATAATGTGCCTCCATCCATGCTAGTGACTATTCCCAGCAGTCAGAGCAAAGCAGCGCTGTTGCATCAAGCAGAGCACCCAACTTGCTTTGCCAAGTTTAGCCCCTAAGAAATAGCCTACTTCCTAAATGATCAATCCCAGCACTGGGAAGTATGCAAGCAGGGGCAATAGCGTACCCACTATTGTCCCAGTTCCATACAGAGTGGGTGGAAGAATAGAGTAGTTTAGGAGGAAAAGCAGAAGGCAAAAAGAGATGGTAAAGCCAGGACACACTGAGCACTTAGTAGACTGGGCAGGGAGCACCACCCACAGTAGCCACAGGAGGAGCAGTATTTCTGACCCCAGCAGAGCAGCACAGCCACAAAACACTCCCTAAAGTAAAATGATACCAGAAAATTCCTGAAGTCTCTTCCCAGCTTCAGCTGCTTTAGCCCAGGGTTAAGGCTCTCATGGAGAGGAATGCAGGGGAACACACCATCACATGCGCAGAGAGTCTTGTTCTCCCTGAAGCCCTAGATCATCGCCATCATTAAGCTCTTTGGAGACTCTCCTCAGCAGCTGGGCAGCCATCCAGTCTGCCACTAGTGCGGGAGAAAAGGAGCTACAAGCCCTGCTCCCTCCCTATTTCTTGGGCTCTCCACATGCAGACTGAGCTCAGGAAGGGACAGGACCTTCTTCCACCAGGCTAGTCTTGTGCAGAAGCATCAAGGATAACCATGAGAGGATCAGCACAGTTCCCAACCACTCCTCCTCACAGCACAGTGCTGCCTGCAGCACGCTGTCATCTCTCCCTGAACAGGTCAGGCTGCCCACCGTGTGCTGCCTCTCCCCACCAGTATTTCTTCTTGCAGAACACTTACGGCGCTCACTCAATGACCGGATGGACTTGATCATTCAGAAAGCCAAGCCCAAGCTCCAGGATGGTGATGACATCAGCCATCTGGACATTCAGCTGAAGATAGAGGACTTCATCAGCCGAATGCAGGAGGTCCTTGGGCAGCCTTTTCCCCTGCAGATCATGGAGAAATTGTGCATGCTTCGGGAGTTGTTCCTCATTATCACTACTACTTGATGGAGACAACCACTGCGGCAGAGGGCAAAGAGCTTCATCTTTCCTCTATAAAACTCCATCAAACCCACTATCTCATGCTGCAGTCTCAAGTGTCATATATCATGTGTGTTTGTGTTTACATTTCTTTGGGAAAATGTCTGGTTTACATGGTCTCAGAATTTCCTTTCAAATTTGCCTCATCCTATAGTTTTACAAGACACTTTGTACACTTCTAAAAAATAAATTATTTTCATATTTGCTGAGATTCTTCCATCTTGGTGCCAGCCCTGCCTAAAGGAAGTGCAGAGCTCTGACTGTCAGCTGTACCCTGGGATAGCATTAGACTAATGCAGCCATAAACTCGACAGTTTGCACAGCAAGCAAAACACCAAAATACTTGATCAATATTTAGGAAAAGATTGCAATTAAAAAAAAAACAAAACCCACAGGTATGAGGTGCAGTGAGGGCATCCATAGTGCAGAGATCCCCAAGCCAGTCCTCAGGAGAGGAGTTTTTCTGCTCCAAATCAAGTAAATCTACATGACTTTCCACAAGGCGTTGAGCACATCAAGAGGGAGCACTGGACAGTGGCATCAGCTGGAAAGGCTGCGCCTCTTCCAGAACGCACTGAAGTGCCTGCGGTGCAGCAAGCATGCACCTGGATGAACATGAATATACAATTCAAACCCACTGCCATCAACTCAAAGCACAGCTGAGGTCAGAGAGCAATGAGGCATTTCTATAAGTCTCCTCAAACAGTTCAGAAGCAACAGAGGTTGGGAGTTGGAGAGACTCCTCCTGTAGCCTGCCCCTGTGCTTGGTGACCTTTGGCAGGGTCCTGATGAGACCAGAGCCTAGGAGCATTGAGCATCACAGTCACAGCCAGGAACACAGTCATCCTCATGTTCATGCTGCACACACTGATGACCTGATGCTTGCTACACAGCAAGGCCTCATCCAGGAGTCTGGCTTCAGTTAGCCCAGAACTGTTTGGAAGGGTCTGACCTGAGGCTCACAGGTTTGCTCCATGCTGTTTAGGAAGCCTCTTTCCAACTGCCAGATGTAGAACAAACCACTCATTCACATGACATTGGCCCTGTAATGCAGGGATAAGCCATCCAGGGAAGAGCAAAGGAGTAGTCAGAACTGTTCCCAACAGTGTAAACTCAAGTGCTCCCTGCATGGTATGCTCATTCATATGCTCATCTTCCAGTTAGGTCCTTTTAACTGCATTAGACTTCTGTCATTAGACCAGAAAAGAAGCTGCATTCCAGCAAGATGTCCACAGTTATGGATGGTATTTTCTGCTAGGTCAGTCATATCCCCAGGAAGGATGTTGTAGTAAAATACAGAAAGTAGAACATCACATCAAGAAGTCACCCTTTAACCCCAGCCTTTCTGAAGTAAATTATGAGGTAAACTATGAGATTAGCCTGTGTAACCAAGACCTGCAGCACCAGCCTGTACTAGAGTACTCAGGTGCTTCAGGATTTCTCTCATCACTTTTAGTTCTGCTAACACTCTAGGAACACAGGGAATCTGTGTCAGCTCAGACATCCCCAATGAAGGAGATGTGCACACTATCAGCAGTACTTTGGCAGCCCCAACTGGGAGCTGGGCACATCTAGCCAAATACCAGCCTGGCTCCCACACCTGTGCCCACCTCCACAGTACAGGTGCAAACACAGCACACAAGCTGCAAGAGAAGGAATCTCAGGAACATGAAGAATCACCATTCAAACAGCTCAAGAAAACACAAATTTCACATTTAGTTTCATCTGCATAAGCCCCAAGACAGGGCAGAGTCTGGCTTTAAGCCTAGTCTCCCTGTCAAGAGGGAGCAAATGTTTTACCCCAGTGCAAGACCTGCCAGAGTTTTACTAGGCAGAACCTTGATCCCACACTCACTGGACAGCCCCACAGTTCTCCCACAGATGCTTGGCCAGTGTCAACGCACACCAAGGACCTCTATTCACAAGGATTTTATTTTCTTGTAACAAAAAAACATACACATTAGAGACATGAATACAGACAACAAATAAATTAATGTCAAATGAGAGACTGATTGCCAAGGTACAAACGAGCAGGGATAGTGAAAACTGCATGGTTTGGTGGGAGACTTTCAACACAACACATCACTGGCAGTGCTGTTGAAGCTTGTGAGGAAGCAGAGCCGCAAAACATGCTTCTTCAGAGGGTACAGCAGCTAGCCAAGTGAGCCAACCTTGCCTCACCCTCTGGGAGGAATGTTTAGTTTAAGGAGGCAGAAAATCAAGAGCTCAGCAGTCACCAGCTGTTACGTAACCTCTGTATAATGTCCTGGCAACAGAGAAGCTTCCAGTACCAAATGCAAGGCTGCTGCTGCCACCTCACTACAGAAAGCCTGCTGCTGGCTGAGGGACCTCTGCAACACAATTGTGACATCAGGAGAGGAGACCTGTTTGCTACAGGACAAGTGAAGATTACAAAGCAACACTGCCTGTAACACTTAAGGGTTAGGATGATAGCCAGAAGTTCCTTCCACTTTTCACGAAAGCAAGCGTTAGCTGTTCCCAAGTAACTGGTTCTGACTGGCCAAAAATTACATGTAGCTGTATCATAGAAAGGAGGAATGTTTAGCCTTGATCTGTCCTCAGTCCTCCCCCAGCCCTGCAAAATGTATTTAACGCTGATAAAACAGAAAACCCTATTTGAGAAATGTCCTTGGTCTCTAATACACTTCTACATGACTCATGAGATGCTCAAAAAAACAAACAAAACCCACAAATCAAGCAGCACCCAGAGTGCCAGAACATCTGTAAGTCTGTTGTCTATGAGAGGGCAGGACAGTGTTGTTTTGCAGAAAGGAGAAGAGGATTATTTGGTTCAAGCCACACCAGCTCCAGTCTTTTCCACCTTTTTGGAGGAACATGAAGAGTTGGAACAGAAGCAATTCTTCCTCCTTACTGCCAAAGCCCATTAGATTCTCTTCCCTGTCTAACAGAAGCATCTTAGAATGGTTAATGCTCCACTTTTCCTTTAAAAAGATTCCAAGAACAAAGAAGTGCTGGGTGTTGAACTATAAGGTCACACTGTATATTAAGGGAGTGCCACATTTAAAACTGACCACATTCCCAGAGCAATTCCTTTTGGCAGTTAATGGTCCAGTTTTTAGTCCTTGCTTGTTTTCATTTTCTGCTGGTGTTCCGTATGTGCCGGACAGAACCACAGTCCTCCTGAGGGTACTTCAGCACTAAGCAGGACAAGACAATGCAACTGCAGGTAGACAAGCCAGCCTGCCTGCACACCACACACAGCTCTGTCCCACAACACATGGTGCAAGGTTTTACTGCAGTCTAGTGTACCAGGAAGCACGTCTAGTGCAGCCTAGCAGACCAAACTGGTGCAATACAGCAGACAAGATGGTTTACATTGGTTTAGTACTAGTGCAGGAGTTTTTCCAAGACTGGCTTTAGGAGGACAGTCACAACTGTTTCCTTTTTTGAGATGAAGAGCTGGAAGGGAGACTTTCCTATTTTACTGCAGCAAAGCGGGACAGGTAAGCAGAGCCTAAGACACCCTGTAGCCCGCTAAAGACATCAGAAGCATTCTTCCTAGAACCCAGTGGGAGTTAGCACATTCAGATCCCGAGGTTTGATATTATGGGAACATGGAGATTGTTTCCTCCCTTCTGTGACTGGAATGTCCATTTTGGGTGGCTTGAAGGTGACTGGATCCTCTGACATCCTAGTAGCCTGAGCACGCATCAGCTCCATTGGAGATGGCTTCTGGGCACCCTTATAGGATTGGATGGTAAATCCTACTGATGGGAAAAAAAAGAAATCACAGCAAGTTAAGAGCTAGGAAAACTAGCTGCTGCCAGGAGCAAGCACTGTTACTGATGCCTGAGACTGCAGCAGGTCTACGCAAGACCCAGCTTCATGTCACCTAAATCCTATTCCACATCAGTGGGTGGCACTTCCAGTTCTGGTTCAATCAGACAGCAGAGAAAGGGTAAAAAGCTGTCACCTTCATACCCTGCCCTTCCACTGCAGCAAAGTGCAAGTTATTTCTACTTTCAGATCCTTGGCATAGGTTTTACCTAACTGCTTTATATTTAGGCACAGAAATGATATGAATAGCACACATTCACAAGGTGGTCCTAGAAAGTAACAAGGCAAGCAGGATAAGGCTCCAGAAATAGCTAGCAAGTTTGTGTGACAGTTTTGTCCTAGCTCTTGCAGGGCAGGAGATTTCAGAGGACATACCTGGATCATTGGTGGATTTCTGGATGGCTTTGGGTCCAAAAAAGCTCCATCTTTCAGATGGTAGTTTGTCCCCACCAGCTTCCATGGCAAAGTCTGGGCCAGTGATAGAAGCAGAGGATCCCTGACTAAACCAACCCCTAGGGAAAATCAGAGATGTATGAAACACAAGAATAAATACTTCAAGTGGCCCCACTGTGCCAGGAACTTTACATGTTGTTATTAAGAGAATTTAAACAATCTTAACAGGTTTGTTACCACCCAGGATGAAGATATGTATGCTCAAGTTCCACAAGCTTTCAGCATTTGGATCTATCCAACTCAAATCCACAGCAGGCTCTGAATTTCACCCCTCAGATAGTCCCTCACTAGGTAAGAAGGTTATTTGTAGCAGCTCCCACCTCAGCAGCCTGTAGGAAACCAAAGGAGGCAGCGGTCTGCCAGGAACAGAGTACCTGTTTTTATGCTTGGGAGAGGAGTGGGGAGTGCTGCTTGGAGTGGACTGAGCAGAAGAAGCCTGTTTGTCATCTTTTGTCATCTCTCCACTCTGCATTTTTAGCTTCTGTTAGGAGAGGCAAGAGAAACACAGAAGCAACACAGCTTAAATACAAGACATGAGGAACAAACAGCCATTTTTATTGTCAGAACTGGACAATTGTTTATATCACAGGTGATAAGTTTCAAGTGTCACTCCACCTAAAGCTAAACCCAGTATTACTATACTTGCACACACATCCTTAAGCTTCTTTCCACATCAGATAAGCATTTTGGAAGTCCACTACGCTCAAGACATCCTTCAGGCTAGAGGAAGCAAAATAACACCTACAGCTCACTCTGCAATTCAGAGTCACTACCCAACAGAACACACTGCTTCAATACCAGCATTCATAGGGAGGCTGCAAACGTAACAGAGCTAGCTCACATCAGTTCAGCTACCTGCCAACAAGTCTGAATGCCACAGCAACCATTTGTCTGCAGCACTTTACAGAGCAACACAGCTTTCAGTCCCACAAGTTCTCTAACAAAGGTGAGACTGGACCTCGTAGAGAAGATACAAGGTCTAGGAGTCCTAGACCCTGAGAAGTAATCCACACACAA